AAAATTACGAAAGTGTATAGAAAAATTTACAGGAAGTACAATGAAATGAAAAGAAGTTTAACATTCGATAATTAATTAAAAATTATTAATTATTATAACTAATTAAGACTATTAAACTATTAAGAATATTATTAAGAATTAACTATTAAGAATTATGACTATTAAGAATTAAGTATGACTATTAAGAATTAATATAATTAATTAAGACTGTTAGACTTGCAGAAAAAAATACCATGAGGGCCACTCTACAAGCTGCTGGACTGCAATTACAGGGTCGGAATTTGGTACGCTGAAAGGGCCATATTTGTTTAAAAACCTAAAGCAGAGTTTGTTTTTTTTATTTGAAATTTTAGTTAGTTTGAAAGTTATTTATGTTTTAAGTGCTTCGTACGACTTTTTCTCACTTTTTTTTGCTCTTTGCGTTACATTTTGCTGTGCTGCCCAAAATATGTAACATTTAAACATTTTGAATTTTTTGAAATATGTAGAATAGTATAAAATATGAATAAATATGTATATTTCTTGAAACGTGTAGGAAAAATTACATTGAATTCGATGGAATAAAAAAAAATAATTTAATTTTAACTATTGGTTCGAGAATTATTAACTGTTAAACTTGTATGAAAAAAATATCATGTTTGATTGATCTGCACTCTTCTCAAATGCAACTACGAAGTTAAAATTTGACTTGCGGATAAAGCTATTTTTATTTGTGAAGTTAACGAGAAATTCGTTGTACAATTTATTCGAAAGCTATAGCAAATTTAAATGCTTCTACCTGATTTTTTTTTTTAAATTTTTTTAACTTTTCTTGCTTTGAATATGTATTATTTATTCATTGTTCTAAGCAATTTGTTTCTCCTTTGGGAGATTTAATTTTCTTCATTCTATAAACTCGCGCACGATTAGATGTTAATAAAAAGTAGCAAAAAATAGGTAGAAAGATTGCATGTTGCCAGATATAAATTTTAATATTTAAAATGAAATTTTTAAAAATAAAGAGCTTAATAAAAAGCGATAAACCTCGTTTCCTATTTGAATTCACGAACGCAACGACCTATAGAGGGCTTTGTTATTTGAGACAAATTCCTGCTGGTAGAACAACAGGATCATCAGTTGCACTGGTGATTTTTTCAGTGTAGCATGGTAATGTTTTGGTGATCCAGGGTAACTTGACAATTGTGGATAATTTAAGAAAGAAAAATGTATGAAATTCTTTCGTATGCAAGTGAAAACAAAATGGAATATCTTTTTTTTAAAGAAGGAACAAACAAACTCTTCGGAAAATATTTCTAAAAAATCTTGTAATTAGAGTTAAAACCCAGTGCCTGAGAAATCGTTCTAGTAAATTTAATGGTCTAGTGAGAAAGGTCTATTTAAATTTTGCATTCCATACTCTTTTCTATATCATATTACTTCAAACATTAAAATCATGCAAAAAGTATACAGAAGCACACAATGTTATACCATTTAATTTTGCAAAAATTGTTTTTTGACAACAATTTTTATCAAAAAATTTAAAGTTTCAACAAAAAATCACTATTTATAAACTAAAAAAAGGCAAATAAAAAATGCTTGCATTAAAAAAAAAACAATTCTAAAAATTCCTTAAATTGAAATTAAAAACTTTCATATTGTTTTTTTTTCCTAGTCTTAAAGTTCTTAATCAGACGTAGAAAGCCATTCTGTAGAGAATTATCATCAAATTCGAAAGGAAAAAAATTTACATCTAAATTTTTTATTATAAAAATCATAGCACTTACTTGCTTTATAAATCCGGAGAATACCAAATGAATTATTCTTCGTTTGAAAATTTTATTTTCAAATAATATATACATTGATTATCCCTTCATTACTGTTAGAAGATTTACTACACAACACAATTTTATAATTGTAAGATATCGATGTGAATTTCAATATGTAACTTAAAAACAGAATAGCTGAATTCTAATTGAAATTATTCATTCAAAATTTAAAAAAATACTTACCAAGAAAATGATAAAAATTATTAATAATCAACACAAATGATACTATTTTAAGTAATTCGGATGCTTCCTTATTGTTGTTTTCCGAATTATATAGATTCGGAAATATATGTACTATTCTATAAAAAAGAAAGATATTCAGTAACTATTACAGTTCTGCACGTTCTGAAATCACAATTATTCATTGGAATGAAGTAAGCATTGTTGACTTCACTTTAATTTGTAATGAATTGAAGCTAAGAAAATATTTTACCGTAGTACACACATCTGTAACAGTATGCGATCACGAAATCGGAAGTTATTGGTTGCAAGTTTGTTGATAATAGAAAGGTAAAAATTATTGAGAGATTGTTCTTCAAATGTTGGGCTCATTCTGTTTCAGAAAGATTTACCAATGTTCTGGGTCATTTTTTTTTTTAAAAGTTCTTCTGCCTTTTCCTTAGGGAAATTTTGCTTCTTATTTGCTGCTAAAAAATGGCGTCATGCTCTGCCAATGTTTTTAATGGAACTAAATAAATAAAAGCCTGAAAATATACTACTCGCTAGAGGGCGTGTTCAAGCGTTGCGATAGCGAATTGTTATTAGTCTCGTCTACTGGTAAAATTACTTTTCATTTGTGTCTTTTTATTGAAACCCGCAATTTGTATTCCTTAGATAAATGTTTATTTTCATTGATTATTTTTTAAATCTAGGTAATCGTCTATTACGTTGCTAATAACATATTAACAAATGTAAACTTTAGTAGGCAATAAAATATGTAAAATTTGTACAAAGAACAATGTTAAAGGCAAAGAATAAAATAATAATATGGTTTACCTTTCAACTAATATTGAAGAAAGGATAGTGCCATTAAAAAAAATTATACTGAGTACGCATACATTTTAGAAAAAAATAAAATATGTAAAAACTGTTATAAAAACATAGATAAAAATAATGAATGAAATAACTATCCGGCTATAACTTTAAATAGTTATTCAAAAAAAGATAATGCTACTGAAAAAATTTACCTCATAAGCATAAATTTCAGAAACAGTACAGTAAAAATCAGATTTTAAATGTACATCTAAAAAAGGTTCTGAGCTGTAGCACACTGTTAAGAACGGGAAAAAGAGTGAGAGATACTTCTTACTCTTACTGCTATTTACACAAATTAAGCATTGTTTCCTTGGCAATTTTATTTATTTATTTATTTATTAGTGCTGAATCAAATGAATACATGAGTTAATGGGTTGTAATATTTTCAAGAGTTTTTAAATATAAAAGTACTATGCACCTGAGAATAATAACTATTTGCTATACAAACAAGTAAGGTGTATATATTTGTAAATTTTTGTACTAAATTGAATATGAAAATGCCCGAGGAAATAGGTTAAATAGTTTTGGAGTTATTAGAACTTATTCACATAAAGTACAAGTCAAAAAAATACCTTCAGTGCAGAAAACTATTGCATCTTCTGAAATTCGGGTTCTATTGACTCAATTTACATGTTATTCAGCCTAAAACGTGCAATAAGAAACAATACCTAACTTGTATCTGTAACAGTTTAAGAATTGTAAATAGGCATAGGTATAAAATTGTGCAATTTACGCATGAAACCCTTATAACTTTTAAACTGTTAGACCTATTGTCTTGAGATTGATTTTATTTGATTAAACGGAAAATAATCATCTGTCTAAATAGCGAGCGATATTTAAATTTCTCTTCTCCTATCCACCTTCCAAAACCCGAGGTCATGCTACTTTTTACCACTTACTATAACGAAGGTACTTAATAGTTTACCTTTGGTTATTTTTACTTGTCCGTGTTTTGACAACTTTCAAAATGTCTTCACTGTGTTAGATTTATTTATAGTTCAAAATTAAGAATACTGTAGCATATTATGCAACCAAGCACTTGTATATTTATTCTGTATTCATGTTTAAAGAAATATGCAAATATTTACTTTAAGTGTTAAAAATGTATCGCTGTGAAAAAAACTTATGGCCGAAATTGTAAGACAAATTTTTTATTAAATTTTATAAAAATTTAAAAAGAAAAAAATGCATTTTACCGTAAAAATTATTTTATAAATGTTAATGAATTAAACGAGTCTAAAACAACAAAGCTTAGTTCAAATTTCTTATAGCTAATGTAGCCCAAAAGAGTTTCGATGCAAAATATTTTTAAAATACTTAACAGTGATAAAAGAAACAACTCCATGTTTCAGGCGGTTCTACTTATAAAAATGGTATTTTAAAGATTGAATAGTTTTTGAAGGGTTGAATATATTTGTAAGTTCTATAAAACTTGGGAACTTGTTCTAGCAACATTCTCGGAGAAAATACTCAGATTCTGTTTATCCTTTAAGTAAGTAAAAATATTAAATAAATAAAATTGGGAGCAAGTCAAATATAGTTTATTATTTCGAAATTTCTTTATATTTGGCAGTATATATCATACCGTATCTTTCGTATATTTGGTAATATATCTTTCAAAATATCAATATAACTTTAAACGAAAATTTTTTCAAATTTTTATAAACGAAAGATTAATGAATATATCTTCGGTATATTTGGTAGTTTATTTTATACAATGAAGGAAACAATATGTCGAATGTGTTTAATGCAATATATTTCGTATATTTGGCTGTATCTCTTTAAATAAATATTTTAGGAAATATCAGGAAATTTTCTACTTAAATGTATCTTTATACGAAAGATCCGCATATCTTTCTTACATTTGGTAGTATATCTAGCTAAATCAAAAGCGTAATATCATACGAGTGTTAAATTTGTCTATTTTTTATTTTACTTATAAGTTTTTTTTTATGAAAATGTAAAGAAACTAAGTTATGAAAGTGAAACTACTTTCTTTGATCAATTTATCTCATCAATAAATATAAGAAATCCATGTTTAAGCCTAATTATCTGTACCTGTTGCGATCCGTTATGTTTTAATCTCTTTAGCACAACAAAACTATCATAGCCAAATTATAAAAATTGATATAAGTAATTTTATATCTTTCTTTTTCGCAGATATTTTCCAACGGTGGATCCCACCCTTAACCAAAGAAATGACATAAGACAGACAAGCTTCTCATTGGACAATCTCAATATGACTATCAAATCGAATTGATAGTTCCACCTTCCAGCAAATTACAATCAAAGACGGCAACATCAAAAGGAAACACCTTTGCATAAAGCTGTTTGCAGCTACCATAAATAAACTGTTTATTTTCACGATTTGTTTAGTTTAAATCGTAAATATGGAGTACAATGTGTGGTGTTGTGTGCAGTGTGAGCTGTATGAATTTGAACGAATTCTAAATATGCATATTAAACCTGAACTTGCACCAGTTACCAGTGCGAGGCGACGATTTATATCACATTCAAATCAGTACAACTTTTCAATAAAAAATGAGTAAGTCCTATTAAAAAATTTCTACATTTTATGTGTAAATTTGTATTATCAAATCTTTTATTGGAATAGTCAACAAACTATTTTAGAATTGCTACAATTGATGATGTCTTCTTATATGGTTGTGAATGTTATTGTATATATAATGCATTTTCTATAATATTATTATTTTCGTGTGTACAATTTATTGAATTAAAATTATTTTATTCCATGTTTATTTATTTTTATTTTATTTACTTATTTATTTTTCTTATTTTTTATTTTATTTATTTCATTTCATATGTTTTATTATTGATGTAACGACAAAAGTTACCTCCAAAATGCTAATATTAAAAAAATTGTATGTTTGCAACAATCAAAAAAATTACTTGCCCTCCACTGTTACGAAATAAAATTTTTAGAAAAATGCTCTTTTCTGCCGTTTAAACAAGTATACAAGTGACGTTTAAATATTTTATAGTATACGAAAAATGTTTAAATAGAAAACATTTTTATTTATTGCTAGTATCAATGCAGAAAAGCAAAAAACGACCATTGTTTCTTTCTCACAATTTTAACCTTTTTTCTTTTATAAAACAATGCCTGGGTGACCACCGACTAAGTTTATTTTCTTCCTCTTAAAAGAAAAGTTCTTCCACTATTTTTAGAAACCTGCCACTCACTTCGGAAGAATCTCTTTTTGTTTACCTCATATCTATTATACCCCTTATTTTCCTTCTTAACAACTAACTATTAAAATCAATATTCACTATTATCAAATGATTTCAAAAACAAAAGCTGTATGGTCAGCAACAGCAATCAGGGAGACTATGTCCCTTAGTAATTAAGAGTTTCAAACGATTATTAATGGTATATAAAGTAATTTCTTGTGGGAAGGTTTAATCGAAGCATATGTTATTTTGCTATACACTCAATAGCTTATAAAACATTTTCCTGTTTTTTATGTAAGCATATACAGTGCACAAAATATGAAACGAAACACCTTAATAACTTTTGATGTAATGATTTGATTTTCACGTATTAAGATGCTTTCTTAATGATTCTGAACCTAGGCAAAAATTGTGCAAACGATATTTTAAATTATGAAATTAAATACAAAAGCGTACTTTCTTGGAATAAAAACGCCTTTTCTTGTACGAATTAGAATTCTAGACCCTGAAAGTAGCCATGATTTTGAAAACAATAATTTCACTTTTTGCATATTTCACCACATCTCTGGAACGAAAATAGCAAATAATTCTTGTACACAATTATAAAACTCATTTACGTAAAGATAATTTTAAGAAAAAAAAATGTTTATAATTATTTATTATTTTTCGCTATTTATTTTAATGATATTTAAACAATTTTGGAATTATAAGGTATTTAAGTTTTTATATCATTTTAACTAATTTCAAATGTCTAGATCCAAAATTTGAGTAGTCTAAAAAATGAAAATATAAACCTTTTTAAAGCAATGTACTATTTGAGATTTAATGTAACTTTATTTAAAATTCGTTTTAATTTCAGTAAAATCTTTTATAGCGTCACACTTCATTTAAGTTGCTTTAATATCAGTCAGTTACAGAGTTATATATTAGTTTTTAAAAACTTTTTCAAGAAGTACTTTGGAAATTAAGTTGTACAAGTGAATTCAGTTGAAAATATATAAGTAAAATAAAGCGTGGGTATAAATCTTTTAAAAGATGTATATTAGAAATTATTTAGTTGTATAGTATGCTAGAAATTACTTATTATTTCAGTTTATGAATGTTAGTTACCTACAGAATTGATCATACTAATCTTATAGTAAACTATACTATTCACTTAGATCAATATGCTTTGAAGATAAATAATGTTTAAAATAATATTTTATAAACTTTATTTGAGAGTAATAGTATTACATGTTATTGTAGTAGTGCTGCATGTTTCATGTTAAACTACATAATTTGAAATGAAAGATTCGTTTTCAATTCTTGAGACATTAAAATATTAAAAAAATTGAATGAAATCGGTTGAATAGTTACTCCCCCCCCCCCCCCNCCCCCCCCCCCCCCTCATCCCATCCCGAAATACACCGGACTAAATTTACTTTCAAAATATTACTGCGTATTTAATTTAGAATCTTCTTGTCAAAGCTTAAAGTTGTCTTAAACTGTGTTATGCTCCCTTATATAATTAGAAGAATTTCTTTCTTTCTCTTAAAGAGCACATATAAAAAAATCACATTTTTGTTAACCTTTCGAGATTATTTAAATGAATTTCATCAAAAAAAAAATTTATGAAAAAGCCGAAAAAACAAATTTTAAAATTTCATGATTCCAAAATTAATTCAGATTTTTTTTTTTTTTTAAATGAAATGGTTCAAATCCTTCTTTCGTCACACATAATAAGGGAAGCAAAAAACTGTAATTTTACTACGATTAGTTTTCCCATGGCATAGAAAAAGCAGGAGAAAGTGAAAATAATATGTCTAATAACTGCAGAACTAATTCAAAATCTAAACGAAGTTTGACGTGTTGCACAACTCAGCCATGCAAGTCATTTCTACTATTGTCTCAGGATAAAAATCGAGGGGGTCGTGTCACCTTTCCTCCATTCAAATGGCACTCGTGATGTCTCACATTTAATCTGCAGTACAGCAAAAAAATAGTGGTTTGAACAATTTGAAAGTGGACATATATCCGATTCTTATTTTCAAAATTAAATTTTATTGGAATGAAAGGAAAAAGAAACAATCAATATTGAAAAGAACAGTTGCGAGACCGGGTAGCGACAATAAGTGAAAAAAGAAAAAAAAGTGGTCGCCCAATTATTTCGTCAACAAATTCACCACTTTCAATAACCCTTCAACTTTACAAGAACTACATATTAAATTAAAACTTTACTTAGAAGTAATACGGTTTATAATGTGTATAAGCTAAAGTGAAAGTAAGCACTGTTCTATTACATTTGTCATGCATAACCATATTTACACTTTAACTTTTTTTTCACCCTAATTGCTGCTACCCTGAGTGCAGTGCAGATGTTCTAATAAGAGTTAACGAAAAAAAGGAGAAATATTACATCTATGAAATAGCAAGCAGAACTTTATGTATTGTATCTGCCTTTACAATAATTGGGTCGCTGTACGGAAAGTTGTACTGAAAAGCATAGACTTACCAGTGCACGCGATAAAAAATGCGCATCATTATGACTGAAACATTGGCATCTAGTGATCAAAATAATTATGTTTCTCTTTGCTTTTTTCAAGGTTCTTGAGGTTATGTTAATTGTATTCTTTTCCAAAAGGAAGGATGATCTCGTCGAAGGAAAATAGTTAAACAAATTTATCTGCAACATTTCTGCATTATCTGCATATCTGCATTATCTGCAACATTTATATAATCCATTGAAGAAATAAAAATGAATCAAATCGGAAATAAAAATGAATGAATTCGGAAACGCGGACGAGAACCTAAAGTTTTTCTCTGTTAAATATATTTCGCTAATCAGGGTCGGAATGGGTGTCAAGGGTAGAGGGCAAATGCATTCGGGGTCCCTTGAAAGAATGAAATATCCATAATTTTTTGAAAATGCCAATAAAGTGTTATTGCTTGTGCTTAGTAACTTGATGTGAAAAATTTATAAGAAATGTTAGACATTTTTCTAGTGAGCTAAATATTTAATATTTAATTTTAAAGCACATACTTTTTAGTCGACACAGTTTATTTCAGAATATATTGCAGAAAAATTTAAAAAAATAGTTTGCAAACCTTAATTTGATTATAATCAATTAAACATACGTCAGGAAACTAGTTTGTTCTATTTCCAGAAATATCTGAAATATTTTCTCAATCCTAGACTGTCGAAACAGTTTCAAACTATGTTTAAACTAGTCTAAACCATAAAAATTCTTAGCGCGCTTTGTTTTGATTCAATCATTATTTAAATTCCTGAAACAAAAATGTTTCTTATAAATTGTCACTGAGAGGTGCATTTCAAATTTTAAGAACTGATAAGTCAGCCCAATTGTTTCTAAAAAAAAAAGGAAGTATAGGCAATAAAACCAAAGATCCTTTGCATCAGAAAAAAATATTGAAATGCATGTATTGTTAATAGTAGTATTATGATATATTAGCATTTACGTAACTACTTTTCATTACATAACCAATTTAAAATCAGCACAAATCAGTTGATTTAGCTCAACTTATTCCATTATTTTGAGATGTTGCATCAATCTAGAAATAAAGCTTTGATATTAATATCAAGTCAATGGATAGGTGTGAAAATTTCTAAAAAAATATACATATGCTAAAAAAAATTTATAAATAATTTTTTTTTTAATATTTGTTCTTGTCCTCTATATAGTTATCACAGATGTAATTAAAATCGATGATGATGCAAGTATGATACGATGCGGGTTAAAAAATTCTGTGCAGCCTGTGTTGCCAGATTGGGGGTTTTCCCCCTAAATTTAGGGGGATTTTTTTATCTTCAGTGGGTATTTTAGGGGAATTGGTTTTTAGGGGTTTGTTTTAGCGTTATTTGTGAATTTAACTAGTTTCATTTTGGTTACCTTCTAATACAAATTCTATAACTGAATGTGTGAGATGGTAATATGAAAATCAATATGTTAAAATAAAACAAAAAGATTAAGATATAATTTTAGACCTTTACCCCTTTGTTGAATGTAGTAGGTTATTACTTAGCTCGATCAACCAGTACGTTTGGAGAAATTGATATCAATTATTTAAAAATTTTAATGTGCATGGTTTAAAAATAATGCCAAATGATAAAGAAAAAAAGAAGTACGTACAAAAGTACAAGAAAGATGGGGAACACGAAAAGCAGTTTAAAGGTTCAAGGGTAAAGGATTTGTATCTACTTCTTCTATGTTAAAAATGTTTAGCAGCGAAAAGATATATAAATCAGAAAGTATTGACGAAAATATGTAGGATATTTTATCAAAAATTTAAGCATGATGTTAGAGTTAAAATAATAAAAAAGACTATATCGTTGATAATAAAATATTTATGAAAAAGTGTGCAGGTCAAAAAGTATTTAAAAAAATATTCTAAGTATTTTAGTAGAAATTAAAGATAATGTGACGATTGAAATGTAAAAAAGATTAATTTGTTGATAATAAAATATTGAAAAGTATTAAAGCAACGCTTTCTATACATTATTTAACTTTTGTACTATTTTTTAATACTTATACATTACGTTAAAAATTTTGGGGGGTTTTGAAAATTTTTA